GAAGCGCTACGTCATGAACGCAAGAAATCTACCCTCGTGGGGGCGCGCTCATGTGATTGCCTTAGAATTGAGGAGACATCTGATTGGCTAGAGATAGAACAAATTACAAGTACGAATCGGGTGACCGTCAGGGGAGTCTCAAAAAACCCACACACGGCACAGCGATCCATGCACAGAAAGCGTAAAAAGTACATTTATTCTGTAAATGTTAAGAACTTGTCATTGTTTTATGTGTACTTATGGAGAAATGTATTTTGTTTCAGTTTCACACTTCTTACCATTAAAATCCCTGCCAAATACAACACCTGCCTGTTCCTTGGAGGAATGATGCTGAGGAGAGTTTAGCTGGCTGTTAAGTTTCAATATCCATACATTGAAACGAGAACAGTACAATACATGTCAAATATTTTTGGAATTTCTCAAAACAAGAACCCACTATTCATATTACTTGGGAAAACACCAGAGGGAATACAACAAAATATTACTTATTTCTAGATACTGATTTCTAGTTATAAGAACAGCAATTATTACACACATGCATAGTTTTACAAGGGCTACATTCTTAAGTGCTACTTCTTCTGTTTAAAAAAGAAATTGAACCATTCTGGAGCCTCTTTGTTGAGGGGTACCTCATGGATGTATTGGTGTACCTATAGGTCCACTTTGCAGTGAGGGAGGATTGGCTGATGCAGAGCAAAGTGTGCGTGCTGGAGTGTACGGTTTGAACATGTCTTGGATTGAGAAGGGCCTGATCCCTTCACTGCACAGTTCAAGGTTCAAGGTTTTTATTTGTCATACAAACATAGCTACAGTGTAGTTATGATGATGAAAATCTTAGGTCACAGGCTCCTCCAACAGTGCAACACAATAAAACTGATAATCAGAAAAATATAGTGCAAGTAAATAGTAAATACAAAAAGAAAAATATAAAAAAGAATAGTGAAATAGTGCAATAAGAGTCTAAATGCAAGTTATTGGAATATGATATATTAGATAAATAATTTCTAAGTAGCAGCCAGATGAATGTTATGGATGTTTCAACAGGTGTTTAACAGTCTTATGGCCTGTGGGGTGAAACTGTCCCTGAGTCTGGTGGTTTTAGTCCGGATGCTGCGGTAGCACCTGCCAGACGGCAGCAGGCAGAACAGTTTGTGGCTGGGGTGATGGGGGCCTTTTATAATCCTGAGGGCCTTCTTCCTGAGCCGCTGGGAGTAAAGGTGCTCCATGGATGGCAGCTCCGTCCTGGTGATGTTCTGTGCAGTTCTATGGTGCACCTGTAGAAGGTCAGGATCCTCTCTATGGTGCACCTGTAGAAGGTAGAAGGTCAGGATGCTCTCTATGGTGCACCTGTAGAACTTCAGGATACTCTCTATGGTGCACCTGTAGAACTTCAGGATACTCTCTATGGTGCACCTGTAGAAGGTCAGGATCCTCTCTATGGTGCACTCGAAGGTCAGCATACTCTCTATGGTGCACCTGTAGAAGGTCAGGATGCTCTCTATGGTGCACCTGTAGAAGGTCAGGATACTCTCTATGGTGCACCTGTAGAAGTTGCAGAGTATCCTGGGGTCCATGTTGAACCTCCTCAGCCTGCGGAGGAAGAAGAGCCGCTGTCGAGCTTTTTTGGTGATGGTGTTAGTGTGATGAGTCCATGTCAGGTCCTCAGTGATGTGGACATGTAGCTGCATTTTCCCCTTTAGATATACGATTTCAGGATCGGGGTCTAATCGCCAAAGACTTAACATTGATCATATGACATGTGTCAATAAATGTTCTTTAAACAAAATGAAGTCTCTCCTGATAGAACTGTCTGGACCCCATCCTCAACGTTCTTTTTCATAATGGAATGCAGTTGGAGGTCAACCAATCACAGAGCTTGAGGCAAAGCGGAACAATAGCTGAGGATTCTGGGTAGTGTAGTGTCTTCTGCCATCCAAACACTCCGAAAAAATATTTGTTTCTCCGAATCGAAAGGGGAAAATACAAAAGCATTGTACACAATTTAAACCAATCAATGTTGTGTAATTAACAAGGATAATCTGGTGTTTTTGAGTTGATGAGTAGTGCAGATATCACTGTAAATAAAATCAATCGACAGTAAGGAGAATACTTACTTCCGGGTGTAAAGTCCTCCGTTATCCAATGGGATTGGACGCTCACATTGCTCTTTGGGTCTGTAATACAATAAAGGGGACATCAAATAGGAATATAATTATCTTTTAAATAACGTTAACTAAAGGGAACAATCTATTTGACACAGCTGCAGCTCTGGCCTTCCTTAAAAACTAACTAATTTAATAAACACAAAATGCACTGTTTTTTGAGAACAAAAATTGGTGAATAATGCACCATAATACATTCTGACGAAAAATAAAAATGATTATGAATACAAATAAAATAAAAGAAGCCTCCCGTGAGTTACTACAAGCTATAAAGTAGATTTAAAAAAAAACGTTTTATAGAATAAAAGCTCACTGCTGGACGTTGTAGAAATGCGTGTGTGCACCACGACAAAGGAGCGTCATTCACTTTACATTGGGGTTGTGTCATTTCATTTCATTTCAAACCTTTATTTATCCAGGTTGTGTCCCATTGAGATCATTGATCTCTTTTTCAAGGGAGACCTGCTCAAGTAGGTTCCACATGAAACATTAAAAACATAAACAGAACAACAAAAAGGACATCATACAGTATCATTACAGGGATTACAATTTACATAACTATCCACATGAACAGGTACCAACAGCTTCCGATTGAGTAGCATCCAACCGAGCTTTAAAAACATTTAGTGGCACCAGATTGCTCAGTTTCCATTTCAATTGCAGACTATTCCAGGACAGTGGAGCTGCGCATCTAAATGCTATCTTCCCTAAGACAGTCCTAGCAGTTGGCACATTTAATAAAACCACAGCATGCGATCTCAGGCAGTAGCCACTTACAATTTGCCGTGAGATCAGGGAGCAGATGTAGGATGGAAGTTTCCCTAACATGGCTTTATATATAAAAATGTACCAGTGACTGAGCCTCCGTACAGTTAGTGAAGGCAGACCAGCCCTTGCATACAGGGTACAGTGATGGGTTAATGCTTTACAGTTTATCACAAATCTCAGTGCACTGTGATACGCAGCATCTAACTTGACCAGGCAATTGGCAGGTGCATTCATATAAATCAAATCACCATAGTCCAGCACAGGTAAAAAGGTCACAGAGACTAGCCTTTTCCTGGCCTCGAGCGAGAAACAGGACTTGTTCCTGTAGAAGAAACCTAGCCTAACCCTCAGTTTTTTAAGCAGGTTATTGACATGACGTTTAAAAGTGAGACAATCATCAAGCCAGATACCAAGGTATTTGTAACAGGCAACCACTTCAAGTTTTATTCCTTGCGTAATTACAATATCTAAAACAGGCTCTGGTGTCTCTTTAGCTTTTGAAAAGAGCATTACCTTGGTTTTATCAACATTTAAAAGAAGCTTTAGTTCAGAGAGCTGAGTCTGAATAATGTTAAAAACAGCTTGCAATTCAACAACAGCCTCCTTAATGGAGGGACCTGCACAGTACATAACGGTATCGTCCGCATACAAATGTAAGGTTGCTCCATGTTTGCGTGGTGCAGACACGTAAATGTAGCAAAGTTTGTGACTCCACCACGCACTGCGGTGTTAAGGAGTCGTGGTGGAGTCACGCATTCTGGTGAGACCAGGTTGTCCAGCCCATATCAATAACATACCAAACTACAGGCTAATGTGAGATTCAGAAATTAGTTTTAAAAATTATGTTTTCATGTTATAGTAGGCCTACCTTACATGAACCTGTTTGAAACCTTAATGACCCCATGATGTGATTATTTATATCTTAAAACCTTTAACAACTATATTTAGATGTTCATAAATATCTACATTTATGTATAAATACATGTGTAGCAGTTAGACAAACATAATTAATAGATCTCATTATTACCTATTATGTGTACTAAAAAATAAAGTTTACTGAGCCCCCTTTTTGTTTTAATTTATTAATTAGACAAAATGATTTGTGCTTAAAGTCATATACTGTTGTGTCTCAAACGGGTAGATTATTAATTAATTTGCCTAATAGTTGCTTAAAATGCTACAATAACATTTGCAATTCGTTTTTAATCTGCCATGTACGGTATCAATGTCTCTCAGCCACCGTAGTGTCGTGTCAGGTGGGCGTGTCGTGTCAGGTGGGCGTGTCGTGTAGGGGGCGTGTCGTGTAGGGGGCGTGCCGTGTACTTGCTGCGACTGCAGCTAGACCATATTGTGAATTTCACTTACCGAAGAAACTGCATTCAGGGACGGTCTGTTTTAACCGCAGAGCCATAAGATAAAGATATCCAAGAATACTCCACCAGGCACCAACACAACAAACACGTCCGGGTTCAAGTTGTGTTCCCGGGATCAGCCGAGCAGTTGAGCCCAGGGGCGGACTGGCCATCGGGACGTTCGGGATGAATCCCGATGGGCCGGTACTGAAGTGGGCCGATCGGACGATGTGGGCCGGTCGGATAAGACACTAGCACTAGCACCCCCCCCCCCCGTTGACAATTTACTAGCGGTATTTACTAGCGGTATTTTCTTGCGGCACCGAGGTGGGCCGGTCGGATAACTCACTAGCACACACACCCTTCTGCAGACTGCTCCTACTGGCCACTAGATGAACTGCAGTTTGAGGCACTTCCTTATTGGCCTCCCGGCTCTGCCCCAGAGTTTGCCGCTTGGTGTGAACCCGAACCTTCTGAAAAATGAAACAATGTAACAAACTGTCGTCTGGTGCACACCAGAGAAGCAGAATTTTAGGTGTGAATGCGACCTAAGACTGTACAACTGAATGATACTCTATGAGCTACTTGATGGTTAAAATGTTCCGTACTGCAGAGATAAAATGAGGTAGAACCAGTTTACTGATTACGGCTGATGAGGTGTGGCTGGTGTTTATGGAAGACATACCTCTGTTTATCAGGTGAACAAAGAGATAAACCAGGAAACATTGTGTTATTCTTCCTCACTGCAGAGAGACAGACGGACTGAAAAACAGACGATCAGATTCACCTTCAGACCAAACTAACAACTTCCTCTGAGTTCAGCTACAGGAGAGAAAAGTGGAAACTACAACTGCTTCAACCTGCTCCACACCCTGAAGGTGAGTGGAAAACAAAGTGAATTTCAGTGAAGTCAATAGAGGAGGGGGGAGGGGAGCCATGACTGACTGTACTTCCTGTCTGCTGTGTTTCAGCTTCACTCCGAGACAATGTGGATAATAATAATAATAATAATAATAATACATTACATTTATAAAGCGCTTTTCCTGGTGCTCAAAGCGCTTACAAGCAAGTAAAACAAAATAACACAAAAGTAAAAAGTGCTAAGCTAGCACGAGGGGTGCTAGCTATAAGGGCGAGGGGTTAGTGGATTAGGAGTTGAAGGCAAGTGTGAAAATGTGAGTTTTGAGGGATTGTTTGAATGATGTGATCTCTGTTGTCGGGTCTGTCAGGAAGTCTTTAGAGAGCCTGTTCTTCTGTCATGTCTGCAGAACTGGTGGAGAGAGAAACCAACACAAGAGTGTCCAGTCTGTAAGACAATATCATTAATGGATCATCCTCCCTGTAACCTGGCATTGAAGAACCTGTGTGAGGCCATTTTACAGGAGAGAGATCCGAGATCTTCAGAGGCTCTCTGCAGTCTGCACTCTGAGAGACTCAGACTCTTCTGTGTCGACCATCAGCAGCCAGTGTGTGTCGTCTGCAGAGATTCAAGAAAACACACCAACCACAGATTCAGACCCATCGATGAAGCTGCACGACAAAACAAGAAGGAGCTCCAGAAATCTCTGCAGCCCTTAAAGGAGAAGTTAGAGATTTTTAAACTACTTAAAGATGTGTTTGATCAAACAGCAGGACACATCAAGGTCCAGGCCCGACGCACAGAGACGCAGATTAAGGAGCAGTTTAAAGAACTTCATCAGTTTCTAGAAGAGGAAGAGGAGGCCAGGGTGGCTGCACTGAGGGAGGAAGAGGAGCAGAAGAAGACGATGATGGAGGAGAAGATGGAGGCTGTGAGCAGAGAGATAGCAGCTCTTTCACACACCGTCAGGGCCACAGAGGAGGAGCTGAGAGCTGAAGACGTCTCCTTCCTGCTCAACTACAAGGCTGCAGTGGAGAGGCTGCAGCGCCCCCTGCTGGAGGATCCACAGCTGCCCTCAGGAGCTCTGATAGACCAGGCCAAACACCTGGGCAACCTCAGCTTCAACATCTGGAGCAAGATGAAGGACATGGTGTCCTACTCTCCTCTCATTCTGGACCCAAACACTGCTCATCCAAAAATCATCCTGTCTGAAGATCTGACCGGTGTGAGAGAAGGAGAGAGACAGAAACTTCCTGATAATCCAGAGAGGTTTGATAAACACGGCTTTGTCCTGGGATCTGAGGGCTTTAACTCAGGGACTCACAGCTGGGATGTCCAGGTTACAGACGGTGCAGGCTGGGGACTGGGTGTGTTAGCAGAGTCTGTCCAGAGGAAGGGAGTCATAGAGTCTGGATTATGGAGAATAGGTTTCTATAAAGGTAAATACTCAGCATGGTCACCACCAGATCCACGCACTGATCTCAGCCTGCAGAAGAAGCTCCAGAGGGTCAGAGTGAATCTGGACTGGAACAGAGGAGAGTTGTCGTTCTCTGATCCTGACACTAACACACACATACACACCCTCACACACACTTTCACTGAGAGGCTGTTTCCACTCATTCACACTAGGGGTAAAGTGAAGATATTACCACTGAAGGTGTGTGTGACCAAACACCAGGCCTGAGTCTGAAGCTGGCGTTAGGTTATTAGAAAGTGACACACAGCTAAACAAATACAAATGTATATATATTTTACAGTTTCAACTTTACCTGAAGCATGTCTTAAAGGTGGGGTAGGTAAGTTTGAGAAACCGGCTCGATATCGCTAGAATTTGAAAATACACAGCCGGAGAAAATCTGCCACTTCCTTACAGAGCCCCTCCTCCAACACACACGAACGCGCACATGACCAATGAGGGCACGAGATAAGTTTGTGCACAGATGGAAGGCTGACAGGCAGGTAGGCCATCCAGTTATTTTAGCCGGGCCGGCTAAAATGATTGGTCGTGCTTTTTACAGTACTACAGCTTCCACAGATGAAGTTTTTTTGGGGATTTTTTGTCAAAGCACTTAAGATATTCATTGCTATCGGGATGTTAAGAGCATTCCATGGAATATAACAAAAAGTGTATCTCGAGCCGGTTTCTCAAACTTACCTACCCCACCTTTAAGTCAGAGCAGTTCACAAGCTAAGCTAACTAGCTATCAGCTAAGTAGCATTTGCATATAGACCGAAATAACCTGAAACACAAAAAAATTGTAGCACTTTGGTTTGAAATATTTGTAATTGCAGTTTTGGTTCATATGGTTGATTGCACTTATAGTCACTTTAGATCAAACCATTAACTATATTTTAAACATATTTCAACATCCACTAAGCATAGTTTAATAAAGTATATTAGGTATAATTGATTATAATATAGGAGCTATACAGTGTTAGGAATTCTTAAACCCCGAGACCAGGATAAACTGAAAAGAGTCCAAGGAAGCTTATAAAAGTTAACAGCATTTAATTAAACAAAATAATGCGATGATATACAAATGAGATTGTGGAGTGGAGGCTCTCTCCCCATCAGCTGTTGCCTGGCGCGTGGGGCAGAGCGGAAGAGAGCGATTCTTGCATTCTTGGCTTGCTCTTCCTGTTGCCATCTGTGGTCTTCTCCTATTGGCCGGCGTCGACGGGGGCGTGTCCAATGCAAATCCTGTCGTTTTTCTCTTTGATTTTATAATATTCTAATGTCTGTGGTTATTTAAACATTCCCTAATAACAGTATTGCCACGTCAATAAGTGAGAGTTAAAGACAGTGTTTTTAGTGTGCAACACTGGCCGTTTCTCAATCGCGAGGATATTGGCTTCCAAGCCAATATTTCAAGGATGCTACGTCATCGAGTGCCGCCGAAGGACTGTTCCAATCTCCATCATACTTGGAATTCCACCGAGGCCGCGTCCTTGGTTTGGGGGAAATGTAGAGGCTGCACATGGGTAGACTTCGCGTCCTTAAAATCCCCACAATGCTTTGCGTATGGACCAATTTCCCCAAATCTGTGGCGGAAGATGTAAGGCGGGGCCTCTCATATGACGCACACCTGCACACTTGCTAGCCTGTTCCACTCTTCGTTTTCCGAATGGCAGGAAGTATTCTTGCCTTGCTTCTGAAGCAAGATGCTCGGCTCGGCTGTGCTACCAAGCCAGCATCCTCGCGATTGAGAAACGGCCTATGTGTCATTTAACCTTGAATTCACTGTTTGAAAACGTAGTCTTTAGCCACATGCTAATGCTAACCTAAAATTGAAGCTAACAATATTTACTCGCAGGAAGTCGGTTTCGGTTTTTCAGAATAAAACTGTTTTAAATTAAAACCATGTATTTAATTTAAATTACGCCATATAAACATTGATTTTATTTCTTACAACAGTAACACAGCTAAGTAAGCATAGACCTGCTAAACTGTTATGAAATGTTGTACATGTGCTGTTATATTTTATTCACTGAGCTTAATTGTGTGATCTGTTGTATTAACTAGTTTGTGTGTGTTACAGCAGCAGCATCTTGCTGTATTTGATGTAAATATAAAGAGCTCTGATGCTTAACTTAACTTAATTCAAATTAATCTGTTAGCACAGATATCTAATATAACACAGATGGTATTTCGTATAATTAGCATTGCATACAATAATGAACTAGTGTCATGTTAAACATTCATCATTTATTTTTTTCATAATCAATGCTTCCCTGTAATCAAAGCCTAGTTATCATGTTTTCAGCTGCTGTTCTGGCAGCAGTGTCCAATTTGCCAGCGGCAGGATGTACAAACAAACACACACACACACACACACACACACACACACACACACACACACACACACACCACACACACACACACACACACACCACACACACACACACACACACACACACACACACACACACACACACACACACACACACACACACACACACACACACACACACCTCCCTCCTGTATTGTTGGTGGGCTGTTAGGATAGGGATGTACTTATCTCTCCAGGCTATCATCCTATTGACAGCAATTCAGCTGTCACAATGTTATCTCCCCCTCCCCTCCTGTGACCTCTGAAAGGATCTCCATGGGCTACATTAAAGTGAAGCAGTTGGTGTAAAGTCAAATTGGTGCAATCTTTATTTTCTGGCCTTGCTTAAGAAAAAGCACAATGATTTACTCTTTCATTCTTGGATCCAAGTAATGTATGGTTGTATTGACCTTATTTTCATTGAACTACAGCCTTCCTGTTTATGAACTTCTACTACAGTAGGCTTAGATGATGGGATGGGGGTGGGTTTGTGAAATGCAACATTAACAGCTGCAGCAGTGCAATGTTAAATGTGATTCCATTTGATGGCTCAGGGGCCAACATTTCCGTTATAACTAAAAGCCAATACACTGGTGCTGGACTTCACCATTTAAACTGTGCCATTCTCATGAATATCTTATTAATGCTAATACTAACTAATTAAGAAAGTCTTTGAATGGATATAACTCTAAATCCATATCATTTTGTTCTGGGATTAGACTGTAATTATGATCACAGACACAGGAACATTCTTAGAATCGCTTCGTATGCTGCACGCCTCAGATGGAGACCCCCCTGATATTTGAGCATGGTTTGAAAAATGACAATTAGTGACTGGTCCCCAATAGCATCGTACATGAAACAGCTAACTGTTATAGCGATGGCAAATTATAACCGAATAGGTACTTGGAATTTAGTGTAGTCTTGGTATTGTATCATCTTAATAAAAATATTGAACATGATTAATACAAACAAACCATTTTATATAGTGTAATATACATGAGATATGTTCTAGTAATTTTACTGCTACTTATACTTGACTATACATATTTTAATCAATTTATATTTTAATTGCATCTTCCTACTGTCACCTACTGTATGTGCTTGTATAAATGTTTCTCTTTATTTTACTTGCGATTTTTTATTTATCTTTTATTTAATTAGTTTTAAATTTGAGCAATTGTCACAAAACCCAATTTAATATGGGATGAATTAAGTATTCTGATTATCCTTATTCAGATTCTGACTTCTTACATTAGGGGCCTGTTATCTTGTTGGTGTGAAATGTGTCTTGATGATTTTGTGCATTTGGAGCTGATGGGGAATTTAACATAAAGCACTTTTTGATGGCTGCTCCTGATGGCTGCTGCAGAAAGAGCAGTGCAGGTCTTTCCTCCTGCAGTGAGAGACGGGGCTCTGCCAGTTACTGCTGCTATCTGGCAGGCTTTCTAGGACACATTAACACCCCTCTGTACTTGTCAAAGCACACAAGGGTGTCCAGTTTTATGTAATAATTTTTTTTATAAAAAGGGCAGGTGACACTCACAATTTATATGGTGCTTCTTGCATAGAATTTGGCAAACTTTCCCATGTATGAAGCCTTTTCCATCCAACGTGCCTATTATCACTTATGTAGTTCGCACTCAAGCATTACAGGCTCATATATCAACTTTGCACTCAAAATATTGGATATTGGTACCAAACCCTTCTGTTTTCAACGTTTTTTTTCAAACGACAATCAAGGACAATCTCCAAGAATATTAAAATGACAAAAACAATTCTGTATGTATTGTTCCCATATAACACTTGTGCCAATAAGCTTTGAAAAATATATATGTATTTTCATAGTGTGGCAGCTAACTAAAGAACTTTGTATTTACAGTAAGAGGGACACGTACATTTTACACAGTAGGTACTTATATATATATATATACAAATAAATTGATTATGGGCTTTTATAATATTGTCACTGATATTTCTAAGCACTTTATTACTAAGTATTATCTATTATAACAGATTGATTGGATTGTTTACATTTATGTTAAGAAACAATCTATTTCACATTTTTGATTTTAAAGTTTCATAGTTGTATTTTCACATCTACTGTGACATCTTTACATGCTTTAATGTTCAAAAAGGTCACATGGACGTTCCACATTTAAAATAAACATGGTGATAAAGTTGAATACATTTTTAATGTCTGTCCTTTTTTGGATGTTGTTTGTCGACGACTGTCCACTAGTCTCCTCCAACCGACTCTTTAACCTGCTGCCATGTGGAGAAAAATATCAAAGCATCCTGGCTCCTGACTCAGCAACAGCTCTTCCTAAAAACCCCTTTTTATACTCAAATGCTCAAATGCCCCCCTCTCCTGCAGGGGGGCGTGGTCAGCTGCAGCTCATTGGCATTAAAGCTACGTCACAGAATCAGCCCTTGCAAAAACAGGGCTGGAATAGAGCAAATAGAGCGAAATGAGGCATGGCTAAAATGCCTGATCTGTTTGGTATTTTGAAAAAAAAACTTCACAGACATGTTTTATATAGGTATGGCCCTACAATATATTTTTCAAATATAGCATGATAGGTCCACTTTAATATAAAGTGTTACTATAATATGTTGTCGCCCTTTTGGGATCTCGACACTAGTACTTCTGCAACAACTCTATACTCTCGCCATGTACTGTTCCCCCAGGCTGTCCCTTCTCTGTGCCGGCCCAGTAAATAGTTGGTGTCCAAGTTGAATACATTTTTGGGAGCAAGAGCCGGTGCCACTGCAGTTAACGTGATTAACTGGATCACAATCAGAGCTCTGAACCGGCCCTGGAACAGCCTCGGTGGAAAAGGGATATGAGTTATCTAATATTATTTCTCAAAGCATAGGCGGTTGCAGACAGAGTTTGACAAATACGATCCAAGTAGAGTTGCTACAGAAACAGTTCAGTGTAGCGTTGGCATAGCCAATGCGTGGTTTACCAATTGGGAAGGAGAATGAGTTTTTAATAAGCTAAGAGCAGACGG